ATACCCTGTTCCCACCCCCCCACTCCTTCTCGGGTGTGTGGAGCAGCAGAAGTGATGACGTCACCACGGTCGCCAGGGCGACGGGGACGGATAAATCAGGCTGAGTGGGCGGTTGCCATGGCGCGCATTCTCCCGTTGCCACGGAGACTGGGCATCTGCTCCCTTTGTGCTGCCCGAGTGCCTTCCCCCTAGGGTCAAGGGGTGTAGGGGGGCAGAAGGAAAGGCAGACACACCTCTAGGGGTCAGAAGGAAGTCGGGGCATCTGTGGGGTTCCCTTCAGTCTAGAGTCTTCCCGGGGGCCTCTTGATGGGTGGCCTCTGCTGCGCCCACTGTGTAGAACTGAGGCGGCTCTTGCTGAACGGCCCCGCAGCTGGGCTGGCTCAGAACCTGGGTGCTGTGGGCAGCCCCACTGTCCCCCTAAGGAGAGCAGCACCCGACACTGGCCAAGCCGTCTGGGGCCCCGCCCGGCCGGGCACCGTGTCCCATGAGTGCCCTCTCCTACACGCCCCCTTCCCAGCCTCTGACCCCCGGGCCCTACACCTTCCCCGCAACCAACAGTCCAGAGGGCCGGGGAGCCTCGGGGCCTGGGCCTTCCTGCCTCCTGCCTCCCCGCAGGTCCCGGCCCTGGGCGGGCTCTCGGGGGCTTCAGAGGAGGTCCCCAGCAGTTGCCTTCTCTTCTCTCCTTTAGATGAACAGGCCGATCCAGGTCAAGCCAGCCGACAGCGAGAGCCGAGGAGGTAGGTCCTGCACCTCTGGACTCAGCCCCTCGCCCTCAGGCCGCAGGCCCCGGGCCTGGAGCAGCCGAGTGGCAGCCTTTCTTGAGGAAGAAAGTCCCAGTTCCGAAGGGTTCCCAGTCAAGGCGGGCAGAGGGGATGTGATCCAGCCCATCACAGAGATGAGGCCGGGAGTGACGGCCTTCAGAACTGGGACAAGCTCTCTGTGTAACGCGCCCATCCCCAGCCATCACCCCCTTCACGCCCGAGAGCCTTTGGTCCCCAGGGTCAGGGGACTGTCTGGAGCTCTGGGGAAGAGCAGAAGGTAAAGGGTGGGGTTCCTGCCTGTCCCAAGCTGGGGCAGACTGGAAAGCAGCCAGGAGGCACTGAGCATGCCCCCCCCTCTCGTGCCCTGTTCCCCAGAAGACCGGAAGCTCTTTGTGGGGATGCTAGGGAAGCAGCAGACAGATGAGGACGTCCGGAAGATGTTCGAGCCGTTCGGGACCATAGACGAGTGCACTGTGCTGCGAGGGCCGGACGGCACCAGCAAAGGTAGCCGCCCATCTGGTTCCTTGGGCAGTGGGGACTGGGGGGCCCCGGTGGGGCACTCACCCTTTTCCTGCTTCCTCTCGAACACCCTAGGCTGCGCCTTTGTGAAGTTCCAGACCCACGCCGAGGCCCAGGCGGCCATCAACACCCTTCACAGCAGCCGGACCCTGCCGGTGAGCCCTGCTCTCGGGCCTCGGGCCTCCGCAGCTCCCCCGGCCCCCCGCCAGGCCCCCCGCCAGGCCCCCTGCCAGGCCCTGGCTTGGCCATGGAGGCCCATTCAGACAGGGTCTCTGAATTCGCTCGGAAATAATTTTCTGGCAGAAGAATCAAACCTCTTAGGGACACCTTCACATTTCAAATGACATCTCCCTACCTCTTATCCCCGTCCCTGTCCCCCATCTTCCATCCAAATGCCCTCACCCTCCCCTCCTCATATGCCCTGCCCTCACTGGCAGGTGACACTTGCTTAGAGGCCCCACGTGCCCTCAGCACACATGAGCTGTAGGTCAACTGATTGCACTGGTGGGGGCCCCCACAGAGCAAACCCCTAAACTGGAACTAGCTGTCTCTGGAGGAGGCGAGTGCCCCCTAACAGAGGCTGGGCAAGCCCGTAGCAGGGACTTGCCGGCCGGGACAGAGGACTGCTGTCCAGACTCTAGGCTGTCCAACGACCCTCGCGAATGTTCTGGTTTGGTATTCACCTGGTGCATGCTGATGTTAAAACGTGAGGCTGCACCCTCTGACGTCAGGATTGGGGTGTGGGGGCCGGAGTTGTGGTCAGGGGGTGAGGCAGGGGCAAAGCGAGACCAGCCTGAGCTTAATTAAACATCCTCTGTGGCCGATCCACCCTGAGGACCATTTCCGGCTCCAAATCCTCGCGGAGACGCTGGGGTGCCCTCTGCATTCCCGGACGCCCGTCCCTCCCCAGGCACGTGACTTCACGCCCTTCAGCCTTTTCTAGTCTTTTGCACATCCCGGCACAGGGGGAGGGTGGGATGAAAATCTCCCCATTTGGCACGATGACAGCTGCCCTGCCAGAGGCCGAGCCATGAGTGGTGGACCCGAGCCAGGTCCCAGGGCTCTGGGGAGGAGAGCCCCGCTCTGTCTCTCTGACCGCATGGGGGGCCCGTGCCCAGGGTGCCTCATCCAGCCTGGTGGTGAAGTTTGCTGACACGGAGAAGGAGCGAGGCCTCCGCCGGATGCAGCAGGTGGCCACCCAGCTGGGCATGTTCAGCCCCATCGCCCTCCAGTTTGGAGCCTACAGCGCCTACACCCAGGCCGTGAGCACTGTCCCCCCCATGCTGGCCCGGCTGTCCTCTCTCCTCCTGGCCTCCCGTGTCCCGTCCCCAACCACGGCTGGGCGGGGAACCAGGCCAGGGCGCAGGGGGCCTGGCCCCACCTTCCTCTCTCCCCCTGCCCCCAGCTGATGCAGCAGCAGGCGGCCCTGGTGGCAGCTCACAGTGCCTACCTCAGCCCTATGGCCACCATGGCCGCCGTGCAGATGCAGCACATGGCCGCCATCAATGCCAATGGCCTCATAGCCACCCCCATCACCCCATCCTCAGGTAAGGCCCAGGCAGGGCTGGGCTGGCGGGAATGGGCCAGGTCAGTGGAGCTACGGCATGGCGGGACGGGAGGGGGCGCAGGGCGTGGCTCGGAAGCCGTGGGGTCCGGGGCGGGGTGCAGGGCTCAGAGAGGGGGTTGCGCCCTGCCCTGCGCCCTCGCTGCTGACTGGTTCTCTGCGTCTGCGTGTCGGCTCCTCCGCTCTGTGTCTGTCGCTCTCTCCCGGCCAGGAACCAGCACCCCTCCCGCCATCGCTGCCACGCCGGTCTCAGCCATCCCCGCTGCCCTGGGGGTCAACGGCTACAGCCCTGTGCCCACCCAGCCCGCCGGGCAGCCTGCCCCCGATGCTCTGTACCCCAACGGGGTTCACCCCTACCCAGGTGGGGGTCTCTGCTGCCCACCAGTGCCCAGCCACCGGCCATGAGACACGGTCCCTTTCTAGGCTTGGGTTGGTTACAAGGCCTTTCTCCTGCTCTGTCGCCCGGGGGGGGGACGTTCCTTCTGGTCTCAGCCAGGGAAGCTGAGGCGCAGAGAGGCAAGGGCACTTGTCCAGGGTTGCACAGCCGGTCACAGACTCCAGTCTCACGGATGCTGAGCTCTGCCCTTCCCTGTGCTCTGTGCACGTCCCCCTCTCACGCCACCCACGAGGCTCCCCTCCCCGCCTGCGCGGCCTCTGCTCTGCGCTCACAGCCTGCTGCTCTCCCCAGCCCAGAGCCCCGCAGCCCCCGTGGACCCCCTGCAGCAGGCCTACGCGGGGATGCAGCACTACACTGGTGAGGAGCCGCCGGCCCGG